CGATGCTCACAATGATTTTGGAACTTTGAAAAATTTAAGTGGAAAAACAAAAAGTATAAAATCGTATCGAGTGATGGTTTTTGTGAGCATTTTTTCCTTAAATGTCGCATGAGGCGAGTTGGTATCAAATGGGCACTCGCGCTCACGTTGATTCTAGAAGTTTATAAATGGCTATCGGAGAAAACGGTCGAGAAGTGTATTGAGATAAGATTTGGATGATACGTTTTTTGATAGGTAGTAATATTTTACTGCTGTTTGTCCGTAAGTCGGTTCGTATCAGAATTGTGTGTATTCGCTGGTCGGCTACGGGCGGATCTTTGTATTAGTTTTGGAATAAATCCGTTGATTGGAATTGATGGATTCTTATTGAGTGCGATCGGTTCCGATAGTTGGAAATGCTCGATTTTTTGTCGTATTATATCGGATAAAATATGGTATGATACGTTGGTTACCGTTGGTTGCCCGACAGAGGAACTTTGTGTTCTCTAGCGGATGTGATCGGATATAGATGTCTGAACATACCGGTTCCGATAACATAGATTCTGACGGTTCTTCACGAATTCGTTTGTCGGTTTATATCGGTGTTTTCTGAAAGTTGTCGGAATGTGGCGGTTGGTTTCTGATGGGATCCGATCACCGGATTTTGCCGGGTTTGAGGCCCTCCCGGTAGGTTCCGATCCTGTGTCTTTCTCTTGGGTCAGTTTGAGAGTGTTATTATCATCAAAATAGAAAAAGTTCAGACAGGTTTCATTAGCAATCCAACTTCCATCACCAATTTCTAACAACCATGGAGCATCGATAGTTGTGGTATAAATATGTGCGTTGATACTAATCCGTGCACCACAAAGGCGAAGGTAATAGTTGTAGAGTGGTGTGCCAAGTAAATGCTGCCACCAAAATGTATTATTATTCCATAGTCGATCTAAAAATCACCATCGATAATAACTCCAAGAGAAAAGATTGTCATCTTTGATGTTTCGCGGTGATAGTAAATATGAGCAAATGACATAGAATAGAAGATGACATATTGGTAAGATAGGGAAAAGAAGTGGACACCATTGATGAATTATCAAGATTGGTAACAACCATTGACAAACAAGAAATACAATACCTACAGATTCTATAACAAACGAAGGTGTCAGACGAACATGTGTTTCATGAGATTGATTGACTATGAACACTGTCTTTTGTAATCGATTCGGAATCGATAAAGGCTCAGTAGCATGTACTAATTGTCGAATAGATGGATTAGTAAATAAAATTCTAATCTCAATATTAGTATACACCTGTTGTCGTATTAATGTAAGTGCACGTATTGCATCTAACGATATTCCACCAAGTCGGCTAAAAGGAATCTCAATATGAGGCGACTGAATATGAAACACTTGACTAAATATATCTTGTAATTGCTGCTCTAGAATAGTATGAGGAACATTACCATCAGTATTATCAGTTAACGATGAAAAACTAGGTGGAGGAAGAAGTTTTCGATTTATTTTTCCATTTGCATTTAATGCAGCGTGGTCATTTCTACCGGATTTCCGACGTCCGGAATTTTCCAAATTCCTGGAAAGATTTCCGGATTTTACAAGTTTTTCTGGTTTTGGATCTTTTTCGTATAAAATTGCATTTTAGCTGGTTATTTATATTTTAGGAACGTTTACTGATTTTATTAAATGCATCTGTATCTTGTACGCAAATTTATGACTTTTTTTCTATTGAAACCGGATCTGTTAAAACTTACTCACTCTGGTAAAAAATATTGTATAAAAAAACAACGTATGATTTAATATATAAATGTATAGTTTATGGTTTATTATTTATTAAATTTACTATGTTTCGACATTCTTTCCATTGAAATACATCTTGCGAGGATTTATAATAAGGCTTTTGATACTTTAGTTGAAAAACTGAAGTTTCTTGAATTAAAATGATCCCTAAAAATCTTTTCGGACTTAAAAAAAAATCCATATTTTCAATTATAGCATCTGACAACCCTGATTTAATGGTAGTTTGTCAAGTACAATGAATATAGATGGAATCATATGAGGTGGTAGGTGTGACTGACAGTATTCACCTAATACTTTTTCATCAATACCAGAACTTTGAACATAAGCAACTAAATGATCATTACTCCATTTTATAACAATACGAGCCGAAAGGGTATGAGTGTGGATGCTTTCTTAAGATTAAGTAGACACAATCATACCCACCCACACCCTGGAAATCAATGGCTCCTTTCGGTCAATTGGTAAGCGATAATGAGTGCTTTTGATATAGTACACTGATGCTGCATCGTCATCATTTAGAGACTTTATACCACCTTGATGGTGGGTGGGTCCAGTGTTTTATCTAGCTGTTTTCGTCCGAGGGTGCCAAATTAACTGCCGGGGGGGGGGGGGGGGGGAGTGGGAGGGTCCCCCCCAAAAAAAGGGTTTTTTTTCTCTCCGCGGGGGGGGGGGGGGGGGGGCCCCCCCCGGGGGGGGAAAAAGCCCCCGGCCCCCCCCCCCCCCCCCCCGCTGGATAAACCACTGGGTGGGTCGGTCGGTGTGTTATGGGTGTAGATGATACTCTTCTCTTCACCCACCCTCAATGTCAAGGATTTGACATTAATTAACAAGATCAGATTAAGTGGTGTCCTATGAGACGAATTCTAATAGTTGTTCGTAATAACACCAAATGCGTTTTCTCGTGGTTCGCGTCAACTTCGATTCGATATTGTTCAGAAATAGTCCAAATCATACGAACGAGGTTTAAAGTGTTACAAAGACAAACAGACAATAACTTTAGATTTACGAACAAGTGCATATAAATGCATCAAATCGAACAAGACAAAATTCCTGATTGAATTCAATAATTTTGTTGAATACTACATACCTGATCGGCATCAAACAACAACTACCATCGTTGATGTTGATGCCATGAAGAAATTGGAATGGTACTCCTTTGATCAGTAAAAAAAAGAGGCGTTCGATACATGATGTGTCATCCATTAGCTGTCAATAAATTAAATGCTCAGAAGATTTTGTAATTACCGATTTCTGAAGAAGTTTATGTGTAAACATGTTGTGAGTGTTACAATCAGGTTAAACTACTGTAAGCTACCGTCTGCTGAGGGTATTAGAATTGGTGAAAAACGACGTCATGGTAGGCCACCAAATACCAAGAGAGCACTATTGATTCAATGATTATGTGTTACTTATCAGTGTACTATTTTACTGAAGTAAATTAAGATATACTGAACAAGAAAAAATCACTTACTCAGCGAAAAATAATTAAATACTGAGTTCTCTAGAATTGATTACTGTGCAATTCGAATTATATACTACGCAGAAAATAATATTTCACAGAACAGAATATATTGAACATGAGATGAAAAAAACGCTGAGCATTCTTAATAAAATTCTGCGCAAAAATATATGCCTTCTTTAAATTAAGGTGTAATAGTAATAAGAAAGGTAACTATAGTATGAATACGTTAAAATCAGAATAAACAGTAGTTCTTTAATATAAAGTAGCACAGTGCATGTATTTCATTTATTTGTATTTAATCTTGTTTATGACGTTTCACAAGTGATAATATTGATATTTATTAGATTTTTGATAAGAATTAAAAATAACTAACAAAAAATAAGATAAATTAGAAGAATCGAACTAAAATGATTATTGTCTATTCAACAAAATTACTGTATTTGTTCTCTTTGTTACTTATTTTAATAAACTCGCTACATAGTTGCACATGTTGAGAACTTGCTTTTCATTAAATAACCAAGAAAAATGGCTATCGTCATACATTTGAAATAACTGGATATATTCATGATTCACTAGTGTGTCAAGATTATTAAATGATGTATTGGTGTAGTATGAAAATAGTTCTAACTGATTATCCAATGTCAAGTTGTCATCCACCTTGTTAGCTTTAAACAATAGAATGTTTGTATTTCTGTTGGTTATATTTAATCCAAATGGTTCATTGTCTATCACCGGTAAATAAGAATAATTTATTGTATCGAAGATGTCTACTTTATCTAGTTTGCCAATTTCAAAAGAAGCCTTGCGTGCATTAAAGAGTGAGTCGATCATAAAAATATTACTAACGTTCTCGCCAGCATTAATCAATTGGCGAGAAAGTTCAAACGATAAAACACCGCCAAAACTCCAGCCTAGAAAGTTATACGGACCATCATGTTGGATTTCTTTTATATACTTTATGTATGCAGGAGCTAATGCCTCGAACGAGAAGCCTTTTTCCATATTTTTTGCTCGAAGATCAAGATAGTAATTATTGAATATTACCAGTTTATATTGTGATAAATGAGGCACAATGTTGTTGAAGTAGCTTTCGGCACCACCGTCACCAGGCGGCAAAATGAACAAAATATTATTGCAACTTTCATTGATCACAACAAACGGATGCTCGAAAAAATTCGAAGTAATGTCTACAAGAGAAATCAGTGAGTTTATCTATTTGATGGATGTTTCTTAATTTAGAAATGTTCTACCTTGATTGATATGTAGTGTATGCCACCGTTTTGTCTGCGTATCGTTGGATGGAAGTGTTTGAAGTAATTGTGCATGTTGTCGAATAGTTGGTTGCTGAAGAAAGAGACCAATTGAGAGTGAATGAGCATCAAAGTTAAATACTGATTGATAACGATGATAAAGTTGAATCAATAACAGTGAGTGACCACCAACATTGAAAAAGCTGGTAGTTTTAGAGATGTGATTGTCATCAGAGTGAAGAACTTGACACCAAATAGTATGTATACTTTTTTCGAGCTCATTAAGAGGAGTATCAGATTTATCGGACGATAACAAAATTGATGAAGAAAAATCGGGTGAAGGAAGTTGTTTTCGATCTACTTTTCCATTTTGATTCAAAGGTAATTTTTCAAGTATGATAAATATTGATGGTATCATATGTGGTGGAAGATGAGACTGACAATGTTCACGCAATTCCTGTTCATTAATATCAGAACTTTGAACATAAGCAACTAAATAATCATCATTCCATTTTATGACAACACAAGCAGAAATAGATGCAATGTTCAGTAGATTTCGTTCGATTTCACCAAGTTCAATTCGTTGTCCATGTAATTTCACTTGATGATCTTTTCTTCCTTGATAATGAAGAAGACCATTGTTATCCATTCTAACAAGATCACCGGTTTGATAAAATACTTGATCATCTATTTCAATGAGTGCTCTCTGTGTCAAATCATCACGTCCATGATAACCAGCAAAGACACCAACACCTCCTACAAACAGTTCACCTTCTTGATTGATGAACACGCTTTGTGAGAATTGATCTAGAATTAGATTTTGATATTTTGAAAGCGGTCGGCCTATTGGAACACTTTCAGTTTCCATTGTGTTATCGAATACGTGGAACGTGCAATCAATTGTTGTTTCAGCTGGACCATACATGTTCCATAGTCGACAAGTGTGCGTTACAGTATTTGACATTAAATTTATTAGTTGTGTAGAACAAGGCTCACCTAGAGATGAAATCGTATAATATCAAAAAGCCTATCAGCGCAGCCCGGTTGGGGCTAAAAATGTGGAACTCACGTATGTTTGCGTCAAAATATCTGATCAGGTTTCAGTGCTTTGTCTTCTGTTTTTGCTCAAATCTAATTAGTTTATAGCTATTTTTGATAATTTTTGGCTATTTATATTAAATTTGCAGTGATTTATGGCTAGTTTCAACTGTTTTTGCTCATTCTAATTAAAATTCTACTAATTTATAGCTGTGTTGAACCATTCTGCTTATCTTTTTATAGAAAATCCTGCAGTTTATACCTATTTTTAACGCTTTTTTAGTATTTTTATTAAAATTTTAGCAATTTATAGCTATTTGTAATGATTTTTGCGTATTTTTATTGAATTTGGGGAGGGGACCTGGGAAACTTGAACCCAAAGTTTACACTACTTATTTGCTTCGAAAATTTATGTGAGTTCCACAGTATAATACATTTCATATAATCATCACATACCACCACTACAAACTGATCGCAGACATTGTGCAACATTATGACGATTTCGTTGTTGTAGAAAAGTGAAGAAATTATGAATTATAGTTGGAACAGTAGTAACACAAGTAATATTCTTTTCTTTGAAAACACCAGCAAGATAGTCAAAGTCCATGATTCCTCTTGGATGCTGCATAGTTAGACTACTTCCAATCATAAAACTGCCCATTATATCTTGAACATGAACATCAAAAGAACAACGTGCCATTTGAAGAATTGTATCCCTTTCATTCAATACATCACCATAAACTAACGAACACATGAATTCAGTAAAATTCTTGTGTCGTACTTGAACCTATAAGAAAGCAAAAATATCAATCAAATACCAAAAAACTAAACTTCAACGAACCGCTTTAGGTAATCCAGTTGAGCCACTTGTGAAAATGATATAAGCTACATCATCGAATGTAACTTTTATGTTTGATAGTTGATCAATATTAATATTACTTTCAATATTATTAACAATCAATACTGAATCGGTATTAAGTGATACAATCTTATGATCGAGTTTGGTCTTAGTTAAATGATGAACAAGAACAAGACGACTTTGTGTTTGCTTTACAAGAGCATGCAAACGATGCTGTGGATCTCGAGGTGACAATGGACAATAAACACCACCAACCATTTCAATGCCCATAATACCAATTACCTAAATAAAGTCAATATTTAACCGACATGATAAACGATTTATGTCATTCACTTACCATAGATACACTTCGCTCAACACATTGACATACAACCTCACCTGGACCCACATGATATTCATCAAGAAGAGTGGAAGATAATATTTGTACATAATATAGAAGTTCACAATATGTCAATGATTGTTCATCCAATTCAACAGCTAGTTTTTGTGGATGTTTCATTACTTGATATACAAACTCATGATGAATACAAGTGAGAGGAGAAGATGGAAATGATATTTGTGTATTATTCAATGATTGCATCAAATATTGTTCATTTGATAATGTTAATGATAATTCATGAATAGGTTTGTGTGTTTTACTATCGAAAGATATGAATTGTTGATGTAACATTGTCTGTAATCTTTGTGCAATTATACAAACTGTTTCAACATTAAACAAATCAAGTGAAGCGTTAATGGTGCATGAGAATTCATTTAGATTTAGATCATGTTGAAAACTAAGAATAAAATCAAATTTACTCATTATTTCATCTTTACTAATCTTAATTGAATAAGGTAGTAAAGAAAGTCGACTATCTCCAATCATTATTTGATTCTTCTCATCTTTTGTCGTAGATGATATAAAATCAAATGATGTATCAAGAAATACAGGATTTGATATATTAGCATGTTGATTGAGAATACGTTGAAGTGGAAAATATGAATATTTAATACAATTTATTATGTTATCTTGAACGTGTTTAGTAAGTTTATGAAATGATAAGCGAGGATCGAGTTGACATCGCAAAGGTATAGCATTCACAAACATTCCAATAATAGAGCAAAGTTCATCTCTATATCGACCATGTGTGTTTATTCCAATACATAAATCTTTTTCTCCATTCGTTAATTTAAATAAAAACACATAATAAGTAGCAAGTGCTAGTTGTTCTACTGATATATCATTAGATGATGCATGAAGAAGAAAGTCATGTGAGAGATCTTGACCAAAATCAAATGAAACAGATGTTCCACGACCAGTTCGATGTTCATTTGAGAGGCGATATCGATCATATGGTAATGATAAAGGCTGATCAAGTTTACAATCATGAAGAGTATCAAGCCAAAACATACTTGCACCAGTCATTGACATTTGTTGTTCTATTACAGCATCTACATAAGCAAATAAAATAATGTATTAGGCAAAAAATAAGAACGAATTATATTTACAATCGAGATAACGGAGATTAGTACTGTCATCATATAATAATTGACCTGCTGTATATGCTTGATTAAGATCATAATGAAATACTTTCATTGATGGAAAGTCAAATAAAGCATGATGAAAGTTGAAAATAAGTAGATCTTTGTGAGAAAGAAGATTATTTGGAGAGATTTGTTTATAATAAATAATATGACATCGAAAGACAAAACCTTGAGCAAGATCAAAAAGTTGAGGACTACTTTTCTCATCGTGTAATATCTTATTAAGTTGTTCATCTGTTTCATAAGTGGATTCGATGACTGAAAACATATTATTTTTATCTTCATGAGTAATAACTCGCTGCATAAGTAGATTCTTTTCAATATCAAAATGAAGTGATGTATGAAGTGATGGATGCTTGTTAACAGTGAGATGAAGAGCATGACGAAGTTGTTTAATGGATAAAGTGTAACCTGGTTGCAGATGATAAACAAAAGGCATATTATAAATTGCTACTTGCGGTTTTTCTGGATCGAATCGAATTCGTTCGTCAAGCCAGATACGAGCTTGTGCAAATGATGCTGGTGCTATATCAAAGGAGAAGCAATGAAATATATACAATGGAATTCTAGTTGAAAAATCGAGGAATATTGTT